GTGGCTAGAGGTGCTAAAATGCAATGCTGAGCACCACAGGACAGTGTTACAAGTGATAATCACTGAATGAGTGGCGCTGCTTTTATGAACTGCTGTTAAACTTATATTATATATATATATATACATATTTATGTTCTGTATTTGTCTTCTTCTGTATTTACCTATATATGTTATGTATTTATGATAAACTGTAATTCATTCATAAATACTAACATCACTTAGTTCAAGCTTCGCTGTTGTACATTATTATGAACTTAATATCTTTCTGAATTTTGACTGTTGGTCACCTCAGGCTGTGTGGGGCATTTTTCACAATTGTTTGACATTCTATAAACCAAGTGATGAATTGCTGTATTAAGAAAATAATCAGCAGATTAACTGATAATGAAAATTAGAATTAGTTGCAGCCCTCCTACTTACTAATTGCTAATATGTAAAATATGAAGATGGACATATAGAATACCTTCATTTAGTAGATAATTTAATTGTTACTTGATATATTTCACTTGGTATATATTTAAAAAAAAAAGTAAAATTAAGTAAATATTTCTAAAGTATTTCATAATTCAATGATGAGCTTCTGTTCACACAGTAGTTGTGCAGTGATTTTATCTCCCTGCACCGCACAGTCGGGACTAACGAGGCGTAATGAAGATGAATGCTCAGACTTTTTCTAACAAAGAGAAATAAATGAATAAAGTCTGAGCCCTTAAAGTGTCTTGACACACACACACACACACACACACACACACATACTCCTGTGTTATTTCATGTGGTCAGCTAGTAAACTCAACCTCAAGAGATGCAATTAATCCACTATTAATTCTACATTTTTTAACGTGATGTAACGGTTGTCGGAGTGATTTTGACCTTAATAGCGTCTGGAGTATCGGGCCATGAAAACTCTTTTTAATCAACACTGAATGTTTTTTAAATGGTTCAAGATACTGAGGAGGAGTTTCCACCACTTGCAGTCGCCTCAATATGCTGTGTACTACTGTAATATGTGAGATTATTTTATTCCTTAAAGAAATTATGGACCATTGTCGTGCTGAGCTTTAAAAAGCTTTTCTAATTGAGTTATTTGTATTTTCAGTGTGTTGTGGTTTCACCCACTGAGCAGTGCATCAGCCCTGATGGCTCTCTGTGTTGTGTTGACCCACTAGGTTGAGCTGTTTTCTCCACATTCACTCTGCGGAGCTTATGACCTGAAACAAGCAGCTCTGTGTACAAAACACGACATGACACAGAACAACCTCCTACAACCACAACACATCCTGACCTTTGGCATAAAGTTTCCACTGCACTTTCTACGAACAAAGCTGTGACACTCGATATTTCTGAGGTTTAAATTGTTGTTTTTCACAACAACAAGAGCGTCCTTTTGTATTCTAAAGTTAGACTAAAGGTCCGTCATCCACTACTGACAATCGAGGGATGAACTCTGGAAACAACTTAGGCAATTGGCTTGTTTCCTCTCCTGCTCGGGGCACTTACAACTCCATTACATGCTCACTTACTGCAAATGACATTGTGCCACCCATCTGTGGTTCACTGGAACAGAACTGTGTACACGGGTGGCTAGTCTCAGCTCTGCCCCGCAGCTTTCTGTCACCTCTAATGACCTTCAAAACCCCAACGCTGAAAAATATTTCCATCTTAACAAGTCACTTAACCTCTCAGCTACGTGTCAGATGAAGTGTCTGGCAGCAGTGGTGAGACCACTTCACTGTTTCAGGAATATTTCAAGAAAGTGTCAGATCTGTTGACACTGATCTGCTCTGGGAGTTCTCCTGATGTCTAAAGGTTTGTTTCAAAGTTTAAAGGTCAGAGTGCTGAGATTTCATAAGACGTTTCTACATGATGAAGTCAGGATTTGTGTCTGAAGGTTAATGGTTTATCCAGGTTTAAAAGTGGCAAGTGGACCAGAGCACGTGTTGGATTTTAGTTTGCTTAATTAGAAATAGCTTAAAGGAATACTTTACCCTCTAACTGTATATGTTTTACACACCATGTTTTGTGTTGAATTCGTGAAGAAAACATTGTTTTTCTTGCAGGCCTCAATGGTGAACGAAGAATCCAAAAACTGAGAAAAATCTTGATGAATTGAAGTTACATTTAAAATCAGCAAAACTGTATCAAAACATCTTTTTACAAACTCACACAGCTCCTCCAGTCCAAGTCCCATTTATCCAGTGGGATGCTCAGTTCCTCCCAAACATGTTCCAAGCAACAAATCTCCGGGGCAGAAAAATGAAACCATAGCAAAAGTGCCAAAACTGCAGTTCCTCTAATGACCACTTGAGGCTGGCTCCAACAGTGAGTCAGTCCCCACAGACCTCTGTGTTAAAGTGCCCAACATTACAGCAGAAATAAACATGTTTACAGCCTGGTACAAAAAATGTTTTGGTCTCTAAAGCTAATTTCAACAGTCATGTCAACTTTTTAATTTAATTAATTTTTATGTAACTCGCCCATTTACGTTTTATTAAGGCTTTAAATTACGCATAATTAGGGCATTTCTGCTTTAAGTGACCGGCTGTCTGTGAGGTGTCACCACAGTCTATAGCCCCTTTTACACTGCCAGATTTTCAGTGAATGTTGGGCCTTTTTGCCGGCAAACTGAGAGCGTTTAGACACACAGGGCCGGATTGGCGAGTTGATCCGAGGAGCCCAATTTTCCACCTCGTAGGGTAGACATATTGGTGGAACCATTTTAGTTTAAACAGACCGAGGCGGCCTTCTGCCACGGGAGGGGCTGTTGAAGACTTGTGGGAGGAGCTGTTGATGACGCCGCACGTGCGAGCCACTGGCGGTGGATAAACAGGAAACAGCTGATAGCAGGAATTAGCGAGCAGCTAGTAACAAGAGGGAAACACAAACCTGACAGACACTGTAAAGATGAGCAACTGGGGAGACAAGGAATTGCGCGCCCTCCTTGTCCTCGCAAACGAAGAGGCCATTAACTGTTAGATGATGGGGACGGTGAAGGACGGGCCGACTTACGAGAGAATCAGCGCCTGATAGCCGCGGCTTCCCTCCCACGTCACTGTTTACGTCACATGCTGAGCTACACGTTTTGTTACTTGCTCACGCCCCCCATTGCCCCGAAAAAGGCACATTCTGTATAAACAAAAGTAGGTAGGCGGCATTTTGCTGCACTCCCCGATTTTGTTTTTATACTGCCAATGCTGAAAAAACACTGATTGGGCTTTCCTGCAAATTTGCACAATTCATATCTAAAAAGGGCTCGCTCCTCCACAGCTCCACCCTTTCATCCAAATATGGTCACTTCTGGCTCTAAAAAATACAAGATGGCAGCGGCCAAAATCCTGAACTCAAGCCTTCAAAATAGGAGTCCATCCATCCAACCATCAGGTTAGGTAATGTGGCTACAGGTGGTGCCTTAGCATTTGAAACACTTCCGCATAAACAGTGCAGACGCACTTCTTAACCGTGTCTTAGTCTGTTTATGCAAATGTTCTATAAATAGTAAAGTTATAGATAGATAGATAGATTCTTCATTGATCCCAGGGGAAATTAAAGTACCCAGTAGCGTTTTACACAATACAATTTATACAAACACACAGATACACCTAAGGATAGAAAAAATAGATATAAGTCAAAAAGTATAAATATACGAATGAAAATAAAACTAGTGAAAAATATAGTGAATATAGTAAAAATGCATGTGTTTGCGAAGTACTGATCATCCGACTGGATAAATTAAACGTGGATCATACTGCACGAGTTGTGTTTGAGTTTATAAACACATGGTTTGATAAAGTTTTGCTGTTGTTAAACATGGACCCCTTTGACTTCTATTTATTGAGAATTTTCTCAGTTTTTGGATTCTTCGTTCACCGTGGAGCCGTGTGAGAAAAGCAGAGTTTTCTTCCCATATTCAAAGCAACACAGGGTGAGTAACTGATAAACAAATGATCATTTTACGTGTCCCAAAGTGTTCCTTTAAGATTTGCCCGGATGAGCCCAGATACCGATCGGTGCTGACAGTGTGTTCCTCTACCTCTGATGCTCATAAACACGATTGTCTGTTTAGAAATACACTACCGGCAAGTTTAATGGTCATTTGGAGGTAGAAGTATTCCTTTAAAGAGAGAGAACGCAGAGTTTAACCTCTCAGTCGTAGATTTCTGCCGATTCAGTGTCCACTTTTTTTTCCCTCTCTCCGCAGGGTTTATGTTTGATTTTAGACCTGTGCTCCTGAATTTAAATGAGACATTTGTTGGTCTGTAGCTGTTTCATGTCAGCCATCTGTACTGTAGGATTTCTCTTGAAAACCAAAGTGACCTCTGGGATTACAAGTCCTGCATGTTTCACTGTTTAAAAGATCAATAGTCTCATATTTATGAAACAGAGTTAGTCCTGTTGTGTCAGCAGTGACGCAGCCTCACATTCACACCGAGTCAACTCTGCTCTTCAAACATATCCATATGCATTGTTCTATCAGCAAAAAATCTGTTTTAATACATCCCATATTAACCTATTTCAGATCTCACTGTGAAACCTGATAACAAACATGACTTATCACCTTGACCACATCTTGTTTTGTTTTGTAACCATTCAGGCATTGTGTTACGGCTCTTAATACTGCGGCTCAGATTACTGACTGTTTCTCAGTCCACAAGCTTTACTTTGTTGTTGCATTAGATTTGTTTCAGCTCAGTTTGACACCTTCAAACAACCAGCAACTTGTAATAATAATAATAATAATAATGATCATACAGTATGCATTTATTATTCATCAGCTAAGTGTAGTACTTTTAAGTCTTTTTAAGAGCATGCAGTATTTTAAAGACCATTTATTTTGATGGAAAACTAAAATAAGCAGGTTTTAATATCTAAATACCACAATGTTTTATAGTTTATATAAATAACCTATAAATATATTCAGATTCCACATCCCCTTTCACTGAAATTGAATTCAACAGTCTGACATTAGGATGTCAGCAAAGTGTAAATGAACAGATGATTCCTACCTTTTTGTAAAGATGTGCGCTGAACCAGTCGCAGGTGTGTCTGTACCTGAGGTGAGAATCTCTCCGAGGGGCTGAACAGTAGCTCAGCAGGCACCTGCTGGAATGAACCAGCCCACTTGTCTCTGCAAAAACTAAAGATTAACACCTCCCTTCAGCATCACATGGTGTCACACACACAGGTGAATGTCTCTGAATGTGTGTCTGTGTAGGTCGACATCAGTGTGTGTGTGTGTGTGTGTGTGTGTGTGTGTTGTGGATGAGGATGCATACATGCAGGTGTTAACAGGGCTTTGGGTCATGGTTGCTGTTTAAGCAGTACACCATTCTGTTATACTGGACAAGATTTAAAATACAAATACTCCAATCCAATACTTATATATACCTAAATAAAAAGAAGCCGCAGTCTAATGAATTTGACACCCATTATTTTTCATAACCATCTTAATCCAAACGCTGGAGATGCTGATTCAAAACCATTAAACTGATAAAGCTCCCGACTAAGAATTTTCCTACATTACAGAGAAATACAAAACCGTACTAATGAACCTTCATTAATATAGGCCTATATTTTATCTCCAAGTGCACGTCACACACTGAGCGAGCCGCCTGTTAATGACGCTGTGGGCTAATGGGCATGTAGCTACTTCCATGTTTCACATGATACGTCATGTTTGTAGTCGACCAATGAAGATGAGTTTACATATCACCTTGGGTTCGTCCTTCACCTTCTCAAAATGATCCCACACTTTGGATTTCCTGCCCGACATGTTATTAACTAGCCTGTGGAATAACCGCAGGTACCAGCCCTGGAGATTAACCTGACTCCTGTCTGACTGCTGAGCGTGGACACTTCCTGTGTCTGTCCTTTCAAAGGAAAGTCACACATGCTCCAGTCATATAGGTTTGGATTTATTTTGACGAGGTGTAGCTCCTGATTGAATTTCACATCTTTCTCCGTCTTTTTTTTCTGCAACTGAGCGACCAATGAAATGTTGCCTACCAATGACCTTTCTGGTCGACTATCATTTGCTCGACTATTGGGGGCAGCCACTTAAATGACTGATTCTTCTATATACAAATGGTGAGTGACAGTAACTGAGAGTTAATGTGACATAAGACAGTGTCATTTTGACGTCGCAGATGATCTTGAGAGCCACCTTGGGTCAAAGGTGAGTCGGCAGATAGTCTGCCACGACGAGTCCTCATGTGTGAACAAGCCTACGAGCAAGTCACCCCCTCGTCTGTGACTGGGACTGGATATCTGGCATGCTAGAAAACTGGAGAAGTCACGACTGACAAAGAGCATCAGCCAATGAGAGGCGGGATACGTCCCACAGAAGAAATGTGAGGAGGACAAGCCGCAGGGTTGCCACTTGCCAGGTCCGCTTATTAGCCGCGACTTTGGGCTTGTTTCTAAAGTGGAGTTGCTTATTTGGGCTTGCTCTCTAAACGTTGCATTCCTCTATATATATCCATCACTTCTTTTGGGCTTGTTTCTATAGCTCTGGTTACTTGTTTCTCTCCCAAGATCTGGCAACACTGACAAGCCGGCAAGCAACAACAACAATGGCGGCGTCCACAGGATCATGGGGAGCGTGTTGTGTTTGGACACAGGCCCTGGAGGCAGATCTGATTCAACACTGGGAAGAATATCCATGCCTTTACCATGTGTCTCCAGGGAGACTGGAGAATGGGCACAATGTTTGTTAATGTGCCAGTTTTATGTCAAACAAAACAATTTGAGGACGTCAGCTTCAAAAGAATTGTGATGTGCATTTTTTTTTAAAAAAAAAAAAACCCAAAACAATCATTGATCATTTAACTGAGCAGATAACTGACAGCTTAATCAATCATGAAACAGCCTCATGTTCACATAATCCGATCAGCTGTGCACAAGGAGGTTTCAGGATTTTAAATTAAAAAAGAAAGAGAGACCAAATTAAAACTGGTTCTTGACATCGGTCAGCACTCTTGAGTTTAGGTATCAGAGAGAACACGTTTTGTAAAGAGGTGGCATTGCTTTTACTTTTTATTTTTAGTGTCAGTCTCTCCAACAAACCCCTTTATATGACAACACATGCAACAACATTAGAATAATTGTTGGTCTATAAGAATTCACAGCCTCAGCTCACACACCTTCATTCACAGCAACAAATTGGTGAACACTCTCCCTCCTTTGTGCCTCTTTTTCAAAGACTTGACCAAAATCCCTTATTCCCAGCCTGAAACTCCTTAGAGAGCTTAAATCACTTAATAACTGCTCTGCAACCAAACTCTGTCCATTGTCCCGAGCAAAAAGCCCAACTCAGGTTTCAAACATTGAAATCGGTCAGCGGGGGCTCAGTGCGGAGGAAAGACTGGCAGGTCTGACATATTGTGATAACAGAGGCCGTCTTTTTTATGTACCCACAAACAGATCTGGGACGATTGAAATGAGAGACTGCTGTCACGTCAACGTGACTTTTCCATCCTGCTGGTGTAAATGTTTATTGTATGAATAGTTGTAGATGACGGAGCTGCTGAGCAGTGTTGTGCAAGGGCGTTCTGTGCCCTTAACTGTATGTGTCATTTGAGCTGGCCTCACTTTGTTACTTCACACTGTACGTACAGTACAGTAAGAGCACGGTGAGGGAAGCAGTACAAACTGGACACAGGTACACATTCACAAATGTGAGAATAGAGCAGAGGTCTGGACACAGGTACACATTCACAAATGTGAGAATAGAGCAGAGGTCACGTTAACCGAATATTTTACATGATTTACTGGAGTTTTGACATCGTCCATTGGCCCATCACTAGGGGTGTAACGGTACACAAAAATCTCGGTTCGGTACGTACCTCGGTACACAAGTCAAAGTTCGTTTTTTTTTCGGTACAGTAATGAAAAAAATAGACAACTATTAAATATCTTTTACTTATTGGTAACCTTATTAAAACATACCACCACAGCAGTTAACTCTTTTTACACAGTTTTTGAATGAAACAAATATATATATAAAATCCTGCTTTTTCACATTGTTTGAATGAAAATAGAAATATTAAAGTGAAAAATAAAATCCTGCTGTTTTTTAACACATTTTTTGAATGACAAATATAAATTTCTGCTTAAACAGTTTTACTCAATTAAAATAAAAAGTATAGTGCAGCTGGTCAGCTTTAAAGCCTGCTCAGATTCAGTTTTACTAGGAACTTACTTAGCTTTCCCACTTTGTTAAAGTGCAGTAAACAAAACATGCTTATATCTAAAGTGCAGCTTAAACAATTTTACTCAACTCCAATGGCGTTGGTTATTTCTTTAGCGCAATGGTCAGGGAAATGCTCTTTCTTTTTAAACGACGACGATATCGTAGTTTGCACCAGATTGCTTTTTCTAGTCGTGCCGGTTAACGTTCAAACTCGGGTGGTGTCGCTTTAGATGCGTTAGCATGTTAGACGTGTTTCCAAGTACATACCCGACCGCTGTTCTGCAGTGTCGGCACACTGCTTTTGTCTTGTCCACTTGTTTATTTCCATCTTCGTATTTTACCCTGAAACCAAAGTGTTCCCAAACGGAGGACTTAAGGTTTGCGGGTGGGTCTTCAGGTTCGTCAGGCTCACTTGCCATGTTGTCAAAATGCGAGAATGCGCTGCACAAAGTGAAAGCGGAGATTTACGGTCAGACTCGGTCCGTCACTCAATTATGTCCGTCGGAGAACTAGATCATTTAAAATATCTAGTTCGGAACGGAATTAAAATAAAACAAAATAAAATAAAACAATATCCTACGCCCAATAATTTGGTACAGGGTTGTGCCGAACCAAAAGTCGCGTACCGAACAGTTCGACACAAATATATGTACCGTTACGGCCCTACCCATCACACATTTCATTTTCAACCAAATATTTAAACATGCTGATGGTGCGAGAGGAAAACCCATGGGACCACCGAGGTCTCTAGGATTCATCCTCAGGGACCATGAATGTGCGAATTTTCATGGCAATCCATACAACAGTTGTGAAGATATTTCTGTCATGGTCGAAGTGATGGACAAACCAAAACTGCCATCCTGAGACACACTGTCAGCATGACTGAACAAAGAGAAACAAGTCTGGTTTACTCTCTGCTGGTGGGACTAAAATGTAAACTCTGGCCTGAAGGAGCAGCAGCAGATAAAAGGCCATGTTGTTACATAAATCAAAAGGGTTTATGGTGGCCCTTTTAGGACATTTCAGACTCAGTTTGCAAGGCTCAGTTCTACACAGGTTTGAGCACTATTCACATTTGGACCGGTTCCAATTTCAGTACCTGTAATTTGGTGCTGGTACCCAACAGGTACTTTACCTTCTCTGTAATAACACAAATGTGTGTCTGCTCATTTAGCAGTCATACTGGGCTGTTATAAAAAAAACCATTTTAGAATGTTGCAGCTGTGTGAACTGGCTGGTCTGATTTTGACTCAAGGTGGCCGATGGTGTCACCTGCAACTCAGCTGGTCAAATGGCCGGCGGCTGGTTTTAGAACGTAAAGCACGTCACTTGTTGATTAGAGACGATACGCCGTCTCATGGTGGTCACTTCCTGTCGACGTTACAGATCAGAAGCACAGAGAGTTGTTGACTAGAGATGATACGCCGTCTCATGGTGGTCACTTCCTGTCGATGTTACAGATCAGAAGCACAGAGAGTTGTTGACTAGAGATGATACACCGTCTCATGGTGGTCACTTCCTGTGAACCAGCAGCTTTTTACAATACTGCAGAAAGGTGCTTTGCAAGAAGTCGTCTGTTTCAACTCGTCTTGTCACCAATCTTTGGTCTGAACTGAGCTTAAGAAGCAACAGTGGAGCTGTGTAGCCATCTTTGGTGTGCTACAACCTCCTGTCTGAGGTTGAACCCGGCTTGCAGAGCTGCTTTAAAACTCTGTGGCTGGCCAAGTACCAACATTTGGCACAGATCAATTTATTGTGAATCAGTACTCAGCAGTACTGACGTAATACAGTTGCTGCCCTTAAAAGTTCGGTACCCAACCCTAGTTCTACACTTTCAGACATGGCTCATTTTTATCATTTCAGTTGACAATGCTGAGAGGTATCCTGTCAGGAACTGCATCATT